TTATTGGGGAGTTGGTAAACATTTCAGCTACATCAACAATGTCAGATTTATCAAAAGTCCCTAGTACAACAAAACCAGCAACATCGCTTGCTCGTACTACATCTGAAGTACCCACTATCGAAGTAACCGCACTTACACCACCCGACAGAGGCAACAGTCGCTCGAGCTCTGAGGATTTAGGTATCATTCAATTGCGTTGCTTAAATTCATCGTATGAACAGAAGTCATCATCCAAAATTAAACGCGCAGTTGAAATAATAATTCAGTCAACAGAATCTGCTGACTCGCAGGAAAATGCAAACAATTTGAACAACTCAAGTGAAGAAAGTTCAGAAAGTGAGCAAAGTGATGAGATCGCAAGCAGCAACCCATTTACTCCTCGCCCGGTGGAGTTTTCTACGAGCGAGCCTACATATAGTCCTAGCAAGGACGAAGTGACCACTACTCGGTCTCGCCATAAAAATAGTCGCAAATCAATCGTGGCCTTTTACGAATTCGAGGTACCGTCATATACTTTCAATTTGACCTTGCTGCCCAATAATTCGGTAAAAGTTGTCATAAAGGACTACAATAGTCAACCAGTGATAAATGTAATATGGTTTAGACGAAAAAACGATACAGCTATTCGAGTGGACGGTGAAGCTGCAAAAAATATCGATTACAATTGCGAAATGTATCAGGAGCCATATCTGATTGCCAACAATCTCACTAAAAATTACACTTACACGTTTTGCATGCTGCCGCTAACCGCAAACAGCTATACCATCTCACCATTCAATTGCCAACCTATGCATGTGCCCACAAATCGACTGGGTGGTGAAGAAACCGAAATCTGGATTTCTGCGGATGAAAAGCAATTCACTATTGGTATGCTGTGTATAATTTTTACTTTATCGACATTCTTTGGCGGAATTATAGCATATTTTGGCATCAAAACCTATCCAGAATTGTTGGAGGGTTCGAAAAATGTATTGGTGGTGAAAAGTTCTGAACCTGAAACAGATTATTTGAAGAGCATGGATTCAATTAAAAAGCAACCACTCAGCAGACGTTCTACAAGAAAGTGAGTATTCGAGATTTTAAGGGATGCCAATACAAATATCATTTTTACTAATTTAAGCCTTCATTTACATTTGTACACTATTTTAACTGGGAATAAAATCCTGTTATTGCTTTAGTAGCAACATTACAAAGTCCTGCCTAAATCGGCAAATCTATATGTAGTTGTCGCCAAGCTAAAATATCGGTAGTCACGGCCTGTTTCGATGGCAACGGATCAAAGAGTGTGATTAATGGGGGGGTTGGTGTCGTTTGGGATGCCTTCAACAGTGCTTCGCTTGTCGACGTCGAATCTAATTAAGTTCAACTTGCATATGCCTGCTACAGTATCCAATCCTTGGTTGCAACAGCGCAAGGTGGCTGAAGCTCTTGGTGCGATGAATGGTGGTAGAACTTCGATGAAGCCATTCACTGGGCGAGAGTTTGTAAAGTTGCTGATTGACACTCGGCTAATATCGCTTATGGCTTATCTGATCAATATCGGGTCCACTGGTTGCGTGATGTATATGGGTCAGGATCTCGTCGGTGAATACGTAGAGATGCCTCCTGCCATAACTGGGAGGTGACTACTTCCAGCAAGTGTCTGTTAGGTTACTTCCCGCGATAAGAGCTGAACAAGTATTGCAGGTGGTATTCAAGCGATATCAGAAGATATCCCTTTGCTATCTGCAGTGAGGTTTTCTGAAAAGTCTTAAGTTTCGTCCATTGCGATCTACTATTCTTCGGCAACCAAACAAGCGCAGAGTAATCTAGAAGCAGATGTTGCCTACAAACTTTTTTTTTCTTTTCGCCGAGAGCTGCCGGCGAGCCGTCGACTAGGGTGCCTAATTAAACACTTGACCTTTTTCGTCCAAATTATGAAAAGGGTAGTCGTTGATTTTTTCGGTCATCGCCAGACCAGAGTGTCGTACCAGCAAGATTTATAGTACGGCTAGACCAATGGCTTTGAGGGCTTTTGTCTTCTCAATGACAATCTGAACTAATCAGGCCATTGAGCTTTTTCACCGAAGTATTCGGCGTGCACTGCCGGCTAAAACAGCTCGCGAATTCCTCCTACTTTTACTACTACTAGACTTTTATAAGAATAATACATAGGTTACAAAATGAAACCACGTATTTATGGCAGAATAATATTTTTTTTCAGGCTCATACCTTCATCACTGGAGACGCCTCCATTATCATTGCCGCCACCACCACCACCACCTTTTTGCGTATCCACCCATGATTTGGAACGTTTGTCAAGCGTCAAATCTTCATCGACATTTTTCGAAAGCTCCTTTGGTCCATCACCATTCGCCGTAGTCGATGATCAATATGAATTGCCCAAGCAATATAGCCACACCATCGACGAGGAACGTTGTATAGCCAATGCTTATGCAAAGAGTCCATGTTCGCCACCACCGTTGCCCAAACGAAATCTCAGCATAACTTCTTCGATTGGCACCAACCATAGCATAAAAGCGGATTAAATGAGATTAACCCTGGACTCAAATTAGACAATAGAGGTACATTTTTCTTGAAATTGGAAAGCCTCGAAAGATTTTAAAGTCAGTTTAAGGATGGAAATATAAACACTGAATAATATTTATGTATGTATGTATGTGTGTATGTAATTATGCAATTATAATCAAAATAAATATAAATATGTATGTATATGTGCATATTTCTTGTGAAGTCTTACCAGTGGTATAATTTATCGCACCACCCAGTTCTCAAAACGCAACATTTCGCCAGATTAAAACGTGCCTAATACACCAAACCATAAAAATGTGAAAACCATATTTCTTAAGTGACTTACACGATTTGATTAAGTTTTTGGTAAGTGGTTGTAACCATGATAAAAATATAGTAAGGTAGAACCGCTGAGAGTCACTTTTAAAATTCTTGACGTTTCCAAACAATTTAATTTTTAAATTTTCTCACAAACTCACACACACATTTTCATTTTCAATCTCAAGCAACAACAATTTCGAACAATTTCATTTTTTTATTTTCACATTTATATGATTTTAAAATGTTGGCAAACTTCAAAAAAAAATCATGGCCGACAAATTGAGAGAACGGTTATACCTTGCTATGTTTTTATCATGGTTGTAACTATCTACATCCAAGAAAATTTCTGTCCAGCCAGCAATGCGAACACTGGTGTCGAGAAAATCGGTAAATCCATGGTTATAAGGGAGTTGACCAAAACAGAAGTGGTTTCAGAATACATGTAAAAATAAGCACAATTCTGCGAATCCTGTTAGGTTTTCCTTTCTTAAACATTCCTTAAATAAAGTCAAATTACGGACCATTACAACCAACTCAGTTTTAATCCGAAGCAATTCGTTTTTGGTTTAATTTTTAATTAATATGTGATAACATAACATAACATAACATAACATAACAGTTATTGATGAAAACTATCATTGAAAAATTCACTATGAAGGAAATGTTCTACAATTAAGCGATACATATTTACCAATCGATTCCTTCAAGGCGTATTTAACAAGGTGGTGTTGGCCGTATATAAGTAAAAAATTACACTAACAAATTATACGCTGATGTCCATACTGTCATTGGTATGAATTACAACAAACACATCATTTTGACGTAATGGCCTCCGCGGCGAAAAACTCAGCTGTCGCCCCAACACCACCTTGTTTAATACACCTTGGATTCCTTTTTTCACCGAGAATCAATTTGAAAAATTTTTTTTTTTAACTTGTATGCAAAATTAAAAATAACATTTATTTTTGTTTTTAATTTATAAATCCAAAATTACCATTATTTTTGATTCTTATCTAAATAATCTGTAAATAGCGGTTATTTTTTATTTTTATTTTTTATGACTTAGATAAGAGTTATTGAGGACTTTTATTTATAACCATAATTTTTAGCCATTTAAAAGTTGTACTTTGTTCTACTATTATTCAATGAGCTACAAAACTGTATACTCAAAATCTCTGTAGGATATCTAATTAAAAAATTTAGAAATTTTTACGAAAGTATTTTGAATTTTTTTTTTAATGTTGCATAAAGTTTGAAACTGTGATTTACACGGGTTTTGTTAAAGCATGAACTATATTTTTATAAAAAAATAACCAAAATTAAATAGCAACAAAAATAATATGTTAAAACTTGTCAAAATATGGTGCGGCTATAATTATTTCAACTACTGTTTTAATTATGTACATATGTATGTATCTCTTACGATGCTACGGGAATATTTTGGGCTTTAAAGAGCACAAATGTGTACGATCTTAGGCTGGCATATGGCGAGATTTCCACCCGCGCCTTCGGTGATATGAATTTACACACTTACCTCTAAATAGGCAAACTTCTATTGAAGTACAAAGTATAATTTTTTCATTAAAAAATTATACCAATATTGAGATAAAATTTTTTGAATTTGTTATCGATATTGGGAATAACGAATCGTTTATCCCGATATTAATGGGTGCCCGATATTTTTACAGCGATACTTTAAATGAGTACTATATCGATACTTTCGAGTCGATGTCGTCGTGTCCCTAGCCTTGATGTTGTCACACAAAGCGGTGAGACCTACAGTTTTACGCCGACTCCGGTTGTTTTTAATGAAAAAATACACTCGGAGGTTTTAGCCATTGATTGCCGCTATTAGAAACTATTTTTTTTTTAATGTTGGTCGAAAACTTGGCTTGAATTCAGGCTCTGCGAAATATTTGCGCGCATTGCTAACCACTACACCACCCGCCTAAATGAATAAACTCCCATACAACTTGTAATAATTTACACTGTCGATAGATAAAGATTTCAAATGCCATGATAATATTGTTTCCGCCCAAATAAATAAATCAATATTAATTTGAGAATATTTTGTGAAACTTTCCGATTCGATTTACTACATTCATATACTTAAATAAATATATTTTTGCTACCGATTTTCTGCGAGCAATCTTTTACTTTGAACTGTAATGGTGCGTTCCTCCCCTCCTGTAAGTAATTTCCAATGAGTTTTTTCTGCTGAAAGCTAAAAAAAAAATTATTCCCTTGCTCAGAATCAAGTTGATACGATTGCTAATAATTGGGCTGAAATTGGTGCACTTCTTCCAGTGTCACCACGAGCTCCACCCATACCGCGCAATAGACCGCTCTCCATGGGCATTTATAAACGACGTTCGATACCGTCAAAAATGATGGTCAGATCAGCTATTAAAAGTCTTACGCGCAATCCACGTGCGGGCGTCTCTTTGACTGCGATCAAAAAGTATATTGCCGAAAACTATGGTAACGCGGTTTCGGATGTAAAAAATCGGTTTCGCTTTGTTAAACGGTATATCAAGAATTCGCTTGAGAAGGGCGAACTTGTACGTACCAAGGGCAATGGGTTCTCGGGTTCATTTCGTTTGCCATTTCCGCAACAATATACTCAAAAGAAGAAGACACAGAAAAAAACGATAAATAAGAAGAAGAATAAGCAGTTCGCCAACAAGAAGTCCAAAGAGTTGAATTTGAATGCTGGCACATCTCGTACCAAGGTCAATAGCAATGCTAGTGGAAGCGAAGGTGAAGCTGGTGGCGATGCTGAGTTTGGTTTATGGACAGCAAGTGAACAAGCTAGCGTTGTAAAAGCAGTCTCAAAAGCGAGCATGCGCAAAGTACGCAAAAGCAATGCAGCCCCTCGTAAATTAGTAGAATAGTGAGTAGCAACTGTGGCAATTGGCGAAAGTTTGGCGATGCTGATAGCGATGGTGACGTGCAAATTGCGGCAGAATTTAAATATTGAATTCTTTATGCAAACATTTCTACATATTTTATAATGTGGCGATTACTTTATGCGAAATTTTTATTTATTTTTTTTTAAATATAAAAAACTACTAAATTGATTTGAAAGTATTAGCTTTTAATCAAACACATGAAGATTACACATTGGTCGATTATCGGTAAGTAATAATTAAATAATAAATAATATGCGAAGAGCAATTACGCGACTGAAATGCTGGAACTGCCTGGCGAGTTATAGCTTAACCAGCCACCGACATAAACCCGTAGACACGACCTATCTTACGGGATTCTCGTGTTTTCGTTATTCTCGACAGCAATTCATATATTTATACGGACGGCAGGCGCGGAAGGGCGCTCCGCCAGTGGCTGGTTGAGCCTTTATTCAAGCACGACGGTGCATGCATCAACTCTTTTCCAGAATATGGTCAAATGTTATGTAAGTGTACTCCGCGCCATGGACAATGAAAATGTCAGATGAAGCGGCTCGGACCACTCTGTAACTGTGAAAATGTACAAAACTGTAAAAATGTACAAATCATGGGATCCCGGCTTTAAAGTTTTCAACAGAAATATTCTGCGGAAGAATTAGGGGCCTTTGCGCATTGTCTATAGCGAATACCGCAGACGATGGAGCAATGAACTGTATGAACTTTACGTATGTATTCAACTTGGGTCGCGATGCTTTTAACTGAGAAAGAGGAAGGCATTTCGGCGATGGAAATACCAGGTGAAATATTCTCTGGATTCTGAGCACGGGACCCCCTTGAGAACTCTGGTCCCGGGGGAAAAAGTCGCCGATTCCCCCTCCTCTCCTGTCGGGCCTATCAACAATAATAAATTTTAAATGCATCTGTTCATATTTAAATTTGTTTCTAATAGATATTGATTATTTTAATTACTAAAACATTTACCTAGAGGCACCTAAATATGATTACAAAAACTGGATTATTCTCTCGATGCATCTCGATTGGTAAAGTGAAATAACCTCCTAACGTTTTCGTTACTTTCTCGATAATGGATCAGATCGAAATAACTTTCGCTTTCGCTACTTTTTCGATAATCAAAAAGTTCGAAATAACTTCCGCCTGAGATGTGGCTTCACTATCGAAAACATTGCGGAGCATGTTTGGAAAATGTGTGATGAGAACGAGAGTGCTACGTAAGGCCATGAGTGCGGAACTGGCGCAACCCATATCTGTTTTTTTTTCGTACTTAACTTCTTAAAATAAATACTTTCTAATATGATAAATTTCAGCACAAAGGTCGCTTATTCCTTAATTGAAGGTTTGCTATGTAGCTTTGTACCTTAAAATTAATGAACAAGCGACATTTATTTTAAAATTTATCACAATTGAAATTATTTTAAGTAGGTATGTACAAAAAAAATAATTGAGTTAGGCCACTTCTGCTCCCACGTCCTCAAACAGCAGCAAGAAATGTATTTACCAAAGGCCGCCCATCAACATATTTAACAAACACTGGTAAAAAATTTTGATATTAAGATAATCCTCTAATTTATATCTTTAAATAAAGATTTTTATGAAAAAGGTTTTTGCGAAATGAATTAAAAAAAGATTACATACGAGAACCTAAAAACGACTCCGAAATTAGTCACAAATTAGGAGCCTTAAAAGAGTCGGAATATGAGCGCAATAAGATTCAGATATAACACATATTGAGGCTGATTTAATGTATGATTTTAAGCTCATATAAGTCCGACCTTCGCCAGAAGCGAAACACATTCATTTCAGACTCCTAAAGGAGCTCATTAAATTAAAACGAGAAATATGTGGCGTTAATTTTTTTTTAATTTTCTTTGAAAACGGTTTTGCGCATTTTCTTCCATAAGAAAAAAGTGCAGAAATCCGGCAGCATAAAAAAATATTAAAAATTAACGCAATTTTACAGTAGGTGCACTTTATTATACTAAAACTGCTACAAAACTGCATACTCAAAAAAAAAATCGAAAAAAAATGTAAAAATTTGTAATGTATGTACATACTCATTTTACTCAGCTTTGTTGTAAAAAAAATATTCATAACTGAAATTATTGTAGAGTGTACCCCGTAATACCATGATAAAAACATAGCAAGGTAGAACCGTTCTCTCAATTTGTCGGCAATGATTTTTTTTTGAAGTTTGCCAACATTTTAAAAAATAAAAAATTGAAGTTGTTCGAAATTGTTGTTGCTTGAGATTGAAAATGAAAATGTGTGTGTGAGTTTGTGAGTAAATTTAAAAATTAAATTGTTTGGAAACGTCAAGAATTTCAAAAGTGACTCTCAGCGGTTCTACCTTACTATGTTTTTATCATGCGTAATACTATACTTAAATACTACGCAATACTCGAGCTAACATTGTGATTTTTTTCTTTTTTTTTTTTGAGATGAAATATTTTTGAAGACTAATTTTTTAATGAAAAAATTTGTATGTGAAAAATTTTTCTGAAAAAAAAACTTAAAAAAAAATATTTCTTTTTCATAGAGAATTTTCATGTTTGCATGTGTGATTTTTTTCAAATTTTTGGAAAACTATTAAATCGACTTGTTCTTGTTTTTTGCTGTAAAGTTTCTAAAAATGTATTAATCAAGCTCAAATTTCATATTTGTTTATTATTTATGTTTATCCATCAACCCTAAAAATTTGAAACAAATCAAACACTTGAAGTGTGAACCCCGTCCATTGGGGTATGGAACGCCCCATATGCAGGTTGGCTGGAATGCTCATTTTCACCATTTCGTTCAATGTGTTTAAAATACCCCGGCTCTCAGTTGCCGGGTTAAGCACTTTGTGTTTGAACATTTTGTGTTTACTTGGCAATGAGAGGTAAAAAACTAGTGTTTCGATATGCAAAGGTTTGTATCTTTGTGTGTTGGCACATAAATGCGGTGTCTATCGCCTATCGCTATTTGTGGATACAGCTCGAAAAAAAATCTGCAATAGATATTCTATTTTCGTTGTACTCACACATATGTATGTAAGTTGCTTCGAAATCGACTAGATTATTGCTTTAAGTACTCAGTAAATTAAATGAAAACAAGTAAGAAAGTCTAAGTTCGGGCGGAGCCGAACATTAAATACCCGGCGCAAGTATTAAATATATGTTTTTTCACCCTTCCGAAACCTTCCGCTAGATGGTAAGCCGGGGTGTATCAATTTTGAGTAAATTAGCGTCCTTCAATTTCGAAATATTGAAGTTTCAAGCATTTCTTAAATTTACCGTTATATGAGAATCGGCCGTTATTTTAGTCCGATTTCAATAATTTTCAACGTTTTGCTTACACGTGGCAAGTACAATAACCATACCGAGTTTGGTACAAATTGGTAGAACGGTTACCGATATACTTATATGTGATCATAAGTGGGCGGTGCCACGCCCATTTTCCAAAATTTTACCATAAACATATTTCTTGGTAAAGAATTGTTGCAAGCATCAATTTTGAATAAATTAGCTTCAATATTTACTGATTTATCGAAGATTTTGTATTTCTCTAAATTACCGTTATATGGGATGTGGGCGTGGTTTTTGTCCGATTTTAAAAAGTTTCCGCGGTTTTTTATGCTGTACCAAGGCCAACAACTGTGCCAAGTTTGGAAGAAATTGGTGCAGCGGTTACCAAGATATACACATGTAACCATAAGTGGGCGTGGCTACGCCCATTTTCCAAAAATTTATAATATTCTTATTTTTCGTCTAAAACTTATTATAAATATCAATTTTGAGTGAATAATCTCCAGTAGTTACTAAAATATCGCAGTTTTCGTATTTCTGAAAATTACCGTTATATGGGAAGTAGACGCGGTTATTGAGCGATTTTAAAAATTTTCGGCCATTTGGTATGTTATGCGAAGGCCAACAACTGTGCCAAGTTTGGAAGAAATTGGTGCAGCGGTTACCAAGATATACACATGTAACCATAAGTGGGCGTGGCTACGCCCATTTTCCAAAAATTTATAATATTCTTATTTTTCGTCTAAAAATTATTGTAAATATCATTTTTGAGTGAATTATCTTCAGTAGTTACTAAAATATCGCAGTTTTCGTATTTCTGGAAATTACCGTTATATGGGAAGTGGGCGTGGTTAAAGTCCGATTTCGCCCATTTTCAATACCAACCTACCTTGCATTAAAGGAAACCTACATACCAAATTTCGTTGAGATATCTCAATTTTTGCTCGAGTTATCGTGTACACGGACAGACGGACAGACGGACAGACGGACAGACGGACAGACGGACAGACGGACAGACGGACGGACAGACAGACATGGCTTAATCGATTTCTTTTTTCATCCTGATCATTTATGTATACATTTGTCTATATCTATCTCGATTCGTTTTGGCTGTTACAAACAACCGTTATGTGAACAAAATTAATATACCCTTGTGCACAAGTGCGCTCGGGTATAAAAATCAATTACGCGCCCGACTGTGTATGCATCTACACCAGATGTAGGTGAATTAGGGTGTTCCAAAAATGCATGTGAAAAAGCGAAGTCGGAATTTTTAAGCTCTCACCCCCTAGGTTTGTTCTATACCGAACAAATATATCCCTATTTTTTGTGATATAAAAAAATATATAGAGGTCCCTCAAAGCGCTCAAAATTTTCCATGTATTTTATATGGGGCAAAGAACTTTTTCGTATAAATGGTATAGAATTTGTGGAAAAAAAATATTTTTCGATCGGAAAACCCTGCTACTCATCAGGAGCTTCCCAATGATAATACTGAATTGTTTATTTAACCACTTTTTCATAGTAACTATATTTGATAAGGCCGCCGAAAACCCCGGAGAATGCAAAGGGGGAGGGGGGCATAAAAAATGTCTAGTAACAAAAAATGGTTAAATAAATAATTGGCTATTGCTTTCGGAAGTCTCCTGAAGAGAATCAGAGTTTATCGATCGAAAAATATTGATTTTCAAGAATTCCAAACCATTTCTACGAAAAGTGTTTTTTCCCCCAATATAAAATACATGGAAATTTTTGAGCACTTTGAGTTAGCTCTAAATATTTTTTGATTTCAAATTAAAAAAAATATATGGGTATATTTTTTCGATATAGAATAATTCTAGGTAGTGAGAGCACTAAAGTTCCTTCCTAACTTTTTTTTTTACCACCCTAATGTACATATGTATTTACGAACTTACATCATATATGATATATGTGGCTTATATGTATGGATGTACGCATATGTTTTGCGTTATTTGGTGGGTTTTTAGCGGTCGCGTGAATTTCATCGCGTGCCATTGGTGCTTTTTCTGTTTGCTTATGCGAAACATCTTTTTATGCGTCATAAATATGTGAGTATCTGCCTATGTATTGTGGCTGGTGGGACATTTAAATCAAGAATGGTGGCCACTTGAGGTCAATGAACTTTCAAAAAAAAAGGTTCTCTCCGAGATAAAAATATCGTTTTATCAAACTTAAATGCCGAAGGTTCGGACAAAAAATTATATTTTTTTTTTGTTTTTCGAAATTGTCTTGAAAAAATACTTTAAGCTGGCATCCCACTATCGGCGCTTACTTATTCCTATCAAAATTTATTGACGAATCCAGACATTGTTTGGTTTTTATTGCGAAGATCATTTACTTAAGACTTTTTTTTAATGTAAATCATTGGAATTTTTTCATGTTTAGTATTACGGGTTCTCTTTAAGACAAACAATTTAAAATAAGTATTTACTCAGTGATTGTACTCTTTACACGAGTATGAATCAATTAAAATTACATAAATATTTTAATTTCTCTCAATACATTCTCGCTCACAATCCTCTTTAAAATCATATGAATGCCCGCCTCCTACACCGCAGCCATCCTCGGACCATTGCTCGCACACGTTTCGTTCCGCATTGTAGTAAAAACCAGTGATGAGCATATCGCAGGGGCCGTAACCTTTCGGATGAGCCAGTAGGCAGTGAGCTTAAAATGGGATTAAATAGAATTTATGTATATATTACGAGTTGTTTTATTTATTATTTCAATTCTTTGTAAAAGTAAACCTGGTCGTTCAGCTTGACTGCAGGCAAAAAGGCTATAAATAATCAAAGTTAAAAACAAGATTATTTTCGCGTGCATTTTAAATTTTCTTCTTTCTTTGCGTTTTTAAGTTATGAAATTTTTTACTCTGTACAACTCAAGAGCTTGCGTTCTACTAACGCTGAAGGTTTGGCAAGTTTCAGTGAAAAGGAGAAACGAAACCGAACTTCTTATACCCAGCAAATGCTCTGTCAATTTATGTATAACAGTTGAAAACGACTAATGATTCGTAAAAAAGGGCGTATTTAAAAAATTAATAACTGGTAGAATTTGAAAATGCGAGTGGGTTAATTTACATGCCTGCGCAGATATCCACTTTTACAATTCACTAGTTTTTGTGCATATGCTTTTTTCGTAAATTTTTTCCGCTTTTCACAAACATACTTACATACCTATTATTTTATCTCATTTTCAGTTTTTATATAATATAAAAAAAAAATTATACCTACTTTAAACTCCATAACATTTACTATATTCAGTTCTTGAAACACGAAAAAAGTATTTTCCAATTTTCAAAGAGCCAAAAATCTGCATAAATATGTTTTATAGTCAATTAAAAATTTGTTTATTGTTTTTAAATCTGTATCTATAAATTATATAATATTTGATTTTAGTCGTTAAATTTGTTTTAGTAAATTTTCCTGATAACAAACTTACGGTAGCATGCAAAATATTTAGACCATAAAAGTACAGAATGCATTAAAAACCTGAAACAGTATGGAGCATTGGTTAAAGAAACATGCCGATAAATCAACAACCAAACAAAGAGACGTTTTTTTTTAGTTGTTATTTAATTTTAACTTTATCAGTTGCTTGAGTGTTCATTGTTTGTATAGTACCTCATATAAATAAATTAAGTTTTGTATGCATGTGCAAGCTGACATATGTATATATTTATGTATGTATGTACAACCCTTTAGGAGCCTCCACTAACTATACACGCCTAAGAGGTTATCAGTTCGTCGGAATATATATATATATATTTATGTATCTTACCGCATAACTTTGGACCACGTTAACCGACTTCGATAATTCTTTCTGCATAGGAAAGATGGTACCGTAAAGGTGATCCTTCTATTTTTATTTAGATCCGATAATTGAATCATGAAGAAATGAATAGTACACCTAAATTTTTATATGAGAATTGAAATCCTTTATGTTTTTTGCTTAAAAGTTAGTTGTTCTTTTGATTTATTATTATATATATAAATATATTATATTTATTTATTTATTTAATATTTCTTAGGGCTATTTTCATAAGTAAGTTTTAAAAATTATCTCTTAAACACAAATTTTGTTCTGAAAAAATATGTTTAAAGGGCAGATAAATTTTAAACCTGACATGAGAAAAGGGCACTTAGCAACCATTTACAAAATTTGAACAAAAACTAATAATTAGCAAAACTCAAAATTTCATAAAAAAATTTCAAACTTTTTAATCGAAATAAAAAAATTGATATGAAATTTTGTAGCGCATATAATTTTCGTGTACCATTGGCTTTGGCAATTTATTTTTGCTGAGAGTGTTGCGGAAAATGCACAAAATTCCGAATAAATTTCCGTTTTCGCATGATTTATTACACTCTAAAGTTGTCATGTCCGACACCATGGAAACACCCATATGTGTTTTGTGAGAAGGGAACATTTTTTTTGTAGAAATAAAGCGCCATATGGCTCCAAAACAGCGTTAAATGTTTTTCCTTTCCACACTTTTTGTTTTCTTTGGCGTAATTACCAGCTGTTTTTCGTGACATAGTATACTATATATATATAGTGAATACAAACAAGTTCAATGTTCTCCATCTAGGTAAAGGCTATAAACAGAAGGGCCTGCTTTCACTTAATGCGAATAACTGTCATGAAGAACATTTTAGATTTTATTTTTTCGAATTCACTCCAGACCTACAACGGTTGTGGTAGGATGTATATTTGGTTTGGCGACAAACCGGTTTCGGCGTTGGGCCATTTCCGTGTGAGTTCTTGGTTTGCTCCGCAGACAAATAGCTCTTACAAGATCTAGTCCGTCTACGTCGAATACGCTATTTGTTCGCAACAAAGCATTTAATGAGGACGGTCTTGCCTCGAGCATCAGAAAAGTAACCCTCACTGTATATATGGATTAACTCTTACTACCCACAACACCTTCAAACCTTCTTCGGAGCAACTCCGGCTAAATCAAGCACCGTACTTTTGAGCAGAGTATATTACCCTTTGAGTGAAGACTGAAAAAGAAAACCAGCCACGGAAAAATAAAATTATTATGGATTAAATTTTTCAAAGGAAGTCAATTAAAGTCGATGAAGCTTTTATTTACAAGAACATGTGGCACACCTTGAGTTTCGCGGTGATCCTACATGTACATATGGCGCCCAAGTGGCAACTTATTTTTATGCCATAACAGCGGCTCGAAATTCGTCAAAGCTATGGTGTTTGTCGATTTTTTAATTTTCCTGGATGAGATGCATTGTTAAACACTGGTTGATTTTCAAGATGTTAAGCCGAACCGATAAGAATCTGTCAGTGAAAAGTTTCAGTTAAGAGGGATCAGCAGGATCACTGTTTTTTGGGGTTTTGTTTGCATTCCTCAGACGAAATTACTCTTAACAGCCGCCACAACTCAGCCGGTATGTCATCGACTATGTGGGATTAGTTGTTTCTAAGCCGCAATATTGGATGAGCGGAGGAGCTCGAGTATCTGGCCAATAAATTTAACTGAGTAACGACAATGTGAGTAAAAAAATGTGGAACACTATTTTTGTTGAGCAATCCAATTGTAACTAAGTATGTAGCTAGAAAATTGAAGAAATCTACACAGTTCAATTATGTCACTCGATACAGTTCCTAATTTATCTTATTAAAAGCTCCTTAGTTAATACTCATAGTTTAGGAAAACTGTCGTCATTTTGATTAATCACCAATTTGCCAATTCAAATTTATGAAAGCAAAGACGGGAAAAGATTAGGAAAAGTCTCTAGTAGCAGTGATAAAAGTCTTGAGTGAGTGAGTGAGTGAAGATGTCATGCATATTTAAAAAAAAAATACACATATTTTGTAGTCATTCAACTGTAACAACAACTAAAACAAACAAGCAAAGATAATAAATTAAAAACAAAAATCACTTAAAACTAAAACTGAATAAACTGACGTACAAAATTACTTAAACGTTTTGAATAACAAATTGGCATGTCAACGAATGTACCACATGCGTGCTAATACTGTGTCACCCGCCCGAAACAGCTCCTTGGGTGTACATACATACATATAAGAAGTGCGCTGTCTATGAGAGCACTATAGAAATGCGCAAGCTTGAATAGACATCAGTTAATGTTCTTATTACAAGCTGATCATAACTAGTTTATTTATTTGATCTTCTCAAGTTAAATATAAAATTTAAATCAAACTGATTATTTTTAACAACGTTTAGTAAAGAAGTGTATATAAAATTAGAAACAATAAACATTACTAGTATCGCCCAGTTGTCGAAATTCGACATCTTTTTTCATACACATTTGAATTTTACTTGTCAATAATACTCCTTTATGCGAATTACTATTTTGAAGTCCACCAGCATAATTTATAGCGAATTTAAAGGAAAACTTAAAATCGAATCGAGGTAATAACGGATTTATTAATGCTAATTCTACCAAGTTTCCTCCAATTTTTTTCAGTAACTTTTGAAATGAGACCGATAAAGGAACCTCGATTTTCATTTATAAAAAATATGTATATGTATTTGTATGTATAGATGAGATGTTCTTCACAGACAAATATGTCAAACATATACCAATTCAGACTGTAAATAAGTTTCTCGATTATATTTGTCTGAGAGCCTCTTGGAGGTTAAAAACTAAATTGCCCACATCTCTAGATAAATAAAGTCTTTCTTTTTTTCATCAGATTGGTTAACGGTTGAGAAAGTATCTTGAAGGTTTACAAAAAAAAGATAATATTTCCGTCTCTAACGGCGGTTTCACACGGGTTTTTGTCAAGACTGGGCAAAAGCCCAATATTTTTTCATCACACGACTGGGCTACCAAGTTACACCAAATTTTATGCTACTAATATGTGTTCTAAAAGTGAAACAAATCTGAACATAGAAAATATGATTTTTTATGATAGCTCTCAATCCCTGCGCCACCTATCGGTAGACAAACACACTGATCCTTCTAAAAATGTTTGCACGAAACAACAGTCATTCAACGCGATTTAAAATTCTGGCAGAAAATGGTTCCCAATTGAATGATTCTTCCGATTTTATATGTGTATAAATGTAGGTGTCCAAAATTTCATTACCTTATAATAAGTGGCTCCAGAGATAACCGATATGAGAATATAAGTTTGTATGGCGGTGCCACGCGCCCTTTCCCGTTATCTACCACTTTTCGCCATAAGTAAGTGATTGATATCATAAATAGCTGTGTCAAATTTCAGGACGTTAGCATAAGCGGTTCCAGAGATAAGCGATATGAGAATTTCAGTTTGTATGGGCGGTGCCACGCCCCCTTTGCAAAATCGACCACTTTTCGCCGTAAGTACGGTATTGACAACAAATGTCGCTGTGTCAAATTTCGGGACGTTAGCATAAGTGGTCCCAGAGATAAGCGATATGAGAATTGCAGATTTTATGGGCGGTTACGTTACTAAAATGTCCATTGCAAAAGTTTTGTTAATTTTGTTCTTAAAAGAATTTTTAACGGGAAGAAAACATGCATTTTATGTAGAACGTACTTTTTATTTTGACACTAAGGTCACCAGCGGTTCCTATTTTTAGAAATCTATGTCCTATTACGTTTCAACTAAATACGCCAAGTGTGAAATAAATCAGAGCATAAATATGGGTTTTCAAAATATCTCGAACCTGGTGTCACCTAAAGAGACCATTTTTGGCAAAATGTTTCTGCTTACATAACCAGTATGTATTGTAAAAAGCAGCCAAATCGGCTGCTAAATAAATAAGTTAGATATAGGACCTTTTATTTTTTTTACACGGTAGACTATTCGCTGGAATATATTATTTTAAATCAAGAAAAACCCTTTATAATATTCATCTTCTAAGAGAGTGTATTAATTTGAAATAAGTTTCTACCTTTTATGATGACTTGCCACCTTAACTTACTGTGT